AAGCAACAAAATATACGAACCAAAACCTGATATCACTAAAAAAAAGTCAAAAATGCAATTGAAAAACAATAGTTGGAGATTTTAATATTTCACAGTCAGAACGAAATAGAGTAAGTAAATAGAAAATAAAATACAGAAATCTTGCAAAAAAAAGAGGACTAGTAATATAGCTTGATGATACAGCACTTGCCTTCCATGTACAAGATTCTGGTTTCAACACCAAGAAAAATAACAACAACATGGAATAATCATGCACAGAAGCATAATGCATTGAGAAAACTGCTCACAGAGGGTTTAGTGCATCTGCAGAACATCTGTAAAGTGACCATGGAGTATGCTTATTTGAAGTGAGCACTGAGCAATCTCCAGTATAGACATAAAGTGGGTGATGAAACAAGTTTGCAAAATGCAGCGTAACTGACACCAGTGCTGTGAAGATCAATGCCAATAATAGGAAGAAACATGGACATTTACCAGGTTGTAGACCAAAGGGAAATTCACAGGAGAAAATAGAAATATTTTGGCATACTTTTGAGATTGATAAAATTAAAAACTTGACATATCAAAACTTAATGAAACTCATTGTAAACGGCACTGAGGGTAAATTATACCAATGTGAACATTAAAAACAAAAAATATCTAAACCGATGCCCTAGCTCTCCATAGTTAAAGAAAAATCTAGAAATAAACACTAATGTAATCAAAAGAAGGAAATAATACATGTAAGAGATAACATTTAGATACATTGAGAGTCCATGCACATTCATCATGCACATTATACAATAAACAAATGAATAAATAAATAGGGGTATAACAAGAAGAAATTATATTTTCCCATGCTATTTATAATGCAAAAACCCATCATTGCTTTGGAAAAGAGTTTATCATTTGCCTGCAAAGTTAAATATGAAATAGCCATAGTCCCCCTTTACTCACACAAATTGTGTAATGGTGAAAATTGTAATCCAAGTAACTGATATGTGTAAATGTAAATATAAAAGTTCGTAGAAGGTTGTGTTCACAGAAGTGTCCCCAGACATCTGTCCACAAAGCCACAGAGACAGTAGATTAGTGTTCTCTAGGGCTGGGGTTGGGGGAGGAGAAAGCGATCGACTCTTAATGGGCATTGGGTGATGAAAACCATCTGGAATTAGATGATAGTTTTGGTTCTACCACCTTGGAATAAATTAAAACCCATTGACTTGTGTATTTTAAGAGGATAACTCAGAAGCTGTGTGAATTAGACATCAAAAATTCATAGATAAGGAAGTGAAAAGAAAATTTGGAACAAAGGAAATAAAGATGAGGAAAGAAATACAGGGTAAGTCACAGGACTGAGTTCTGGCAGACACTGCTTCTGTGACACTAACAGTAAGTGCACAAAGCCTTGTGACATGTAAGGCGATTGAGAACTCCATTAGGGGTTCAGAAGCAGTGCAGCTTCCCCTGAGGTTAACACTCAAGAAACAAGTTTCCTGAACTACAGGTGTTTGTCTTTAGTTCAGAAAAATCCAGATAACTGAATCAATAGTGAACTTGATGGCCCCGTTCACTGTGTTATTTGTGTACTATGCATACATCTTTAATGTGGTTATTTCATTTTATAACTCACTAAGTATTTGCCAGGCTTCCCCTCCCCCTAAAATGTGATCTCTAATCCTCCTTTTATTCTAATAACTTTAAATAAGGTGTATGTTTCCATTTTGCACTGTTTCTCACCCTTTGCCTTTAACAGTGGACTATTCCATCTTGTTCATTACCATCTTGCTGCTTAAGCTCCCCATTTTGCATATTGCTATGTATTGGCCAAACTCCCTTTAAATTTTTAAGATTCTGAAATCTGTAAGTGTATGCTGTGTTAATGTATTATTTCACAAAAAAGTGCCATATTAATTTCATCTAAATAGTAAAGGTAACATGTATATAAGGCTTAGCAGGCAGTGAGTATTCTGGTATGGTAAATGTTCTATCACTAAAGAGTAATTTAAGGGTTCTATGTAAATTTTGAAATGCTTGTTGAATTTTAAAATGCTCCATTCATAAAATTTACTGCTTAAAACTATAAAAAACAGAGAGCTGAAGCACCACCAACCATACAATAAAAGTCAAGTTGACTTTGAGAGCAGGTCAGCCAAGATGAACAAATGAGTCTTGTAATTGCAAAGCAGAGGTCAAAAAAATTGGCCCTAATCAAATAAGGAGGAAGAGGAAATGCCACTGACCTAAGGAGAGGTCATAACATAAGACTGCAATAAATATCCACTAGCTGAGTCCCTTCATCAGATGGCAATTGCAAAATGTTTCAACAAGTAATGTTAAATGGGCACAATTATTTCCTGAGAATGATTTTAAGGAGTTCAGTAAATGCAGATAATCCTTAGCCTATATTTCATACCAAGTTTTTAATCCATACCTATATGTTTTCTCAGGCATACTTTCAGCCAAGTGTCAGCTAAGGATAGCTCTTAGGTAAAAAACAAAACAAAACCAAAAGCTAGAATTAGCCGGTTATATGTGTAATCAACTCTTATGAGTGCGCTCCAAACATATTGTGTGACATGTTTTGTATATTTTCTTTATTGGATATTGATACAATTTGAAGTCAAAATACATTTTTACAAATAATTTTTGATGGAGATTTAAAATAAAGAACCACAGCCTAGAACCACAGCGGTCTCCTTTTTGATTTAGTTCTGAGCAGCATGCCATCAAGGATGCTCATCTCTCAAGCATTTTGAGGTTCTCCTATAGTTGTTGGTTAAGGAAGGATAATATTTTTGATTGTATTCTAGGTTCACCAGAAGGTTATTGCTCAAGTGATTCATGTTCTGAAGACTTCATGGGTGCTGTCATAGCAATAAACTCAATCTATCACAAACCTATTGGAAGTGGACACAGATGTGCACAATTTTGCACGATAAGATTCAGATAGGAACAAAGCATTGCAAGTAAACAGCACCTCTGATAGAGACTAATGGGTGCAAACTGACCAGAGTGCCTTTAAATTGAGATTTGTTTCCTTTCAGTTTGTAGCAAAGAATTTTAACTGGCAGATGCATATTTATAACTGCCATAGAGGGCGAAGCATAGCCAAGGACAGCAAACAATTAGAAAAATAAGTATCACCAATTTGCATTAACAATAGGAGACAATGAATGAAAACGTTAGAAATGGAAGTTTGGTTCTTTTCAGAGGAGGAAACCAGTTTTTTTTTATTTTTAAAATTAAAAAATTTTTTTGTCCTGTAAAAGCAGAGAACCCAAGAACAGGAGTTATACAAAAGATTGAGGAAGGTTTCTGTCTGGGTTTCTGTCCTAGCTGCTGATCTGGATTTTTGGTGGTGGCAGTCAAGGTGGAGAGTGTCAGATGTTCAAAATGCAGAAAGCAAAATCACCATCAATTAACGTCCATTGAAGTTCCCATTGGAAGATCACTCTTGCAAACTTCATGGAAACATTCTAGGTACTCAGATTGAGATGCAATCTAGAACTCAAAACACTCTTGGTAGAGCAGGAATAAGAGAATGATAGTTCTTAAGTGTGTTTAGCTGGGCAACACCAACCCACTCAGGAGAAAGCCCAGGATTTGTCAAGCATCTTTGGATAACAAAAGGTGTACGGTCCTTCACAAGTATATTTTACTCTAATAGAGAACTGAGTCTTATTCTGGGAAAAACATATTTGTTTATGTTTCTCTGGGGAAAGGAAGACTTTCTGGATTAAATTTTACAATTACCTCGTCCCACTTCAGGAGATTTTGTGACAAGTTGAGGAATCTTTCCATAACATCCATGATGTCTTCAGAGCATGAAAAGAAAAAGAAAAGAACAGGCTACAAGGCTCCTCTGAAGCCAGAATACTTTCAAGTGTGTTAATTTAGTTGTCCTTTTGTCTTCAAGAAACACCTCGGTTCTTCAAGCTAGAGATGATTAAACGAAAATGAACTTCACTTGGCTAATTTTGACCTTCTATGAGCTCTGGTATAGAATCTTCCTGATTTGATGCCTTGAGACCTGAGCTTAAAGCTTAAGCCAATTGCTCCTTGTGGGGAAATCGAAATCCTAGCACAGGGAGTGCTCTAGAGCATGTGCTTTTCACCAAGGATGCCTGTCTCTTTTCTATTTATCCTCATGAAAAGGTGGTTAACTGTATGCAAAACAGAATGTAAGCTAAAGAGGGGGCCAGAAGGGGTTAATGCCAAAGCAGATCAGCAAGCTGAGAAAACAAAAACAAACTAGCTAGTGAAAGCCCTTTAAAGCCCCCATAGGGAATTCAATGGGCCTCCTGTTCCTTTAAACTCTGCTTTCGCTGCCACTGACACTTTACCAAACTGCAGTGGTGGCCGCTGGACCCTGCGGAGCAAAACCACCTTCCTTCACCCTCTGAGCGGGCCTGGGGTAGGAGTGTTTTTTTGTTGGGATGGGGGTTGGGGGGACACTGAATGTCAGAAACCAAAGCGACTCAGGTTTGATTTTTTTTTCACACCCCAACGGTTGCCAGACCAGCACTCTGCTAGGGATGAAATGTTATTAACCCCTTAGCGCCCAGGTTGAAACCAGGAGGTTGTGGGCGCCCGCTGGGGCCTCATTCCCCAACCGGAGGCTGGCACCCAGAAGCCTGGAGAGCCTAGTGGGGGCAGGCAGCATTGACCCCACTACAGAGGGTGAGAGCAGGGCAGGCCGATGGCGTCCAGGCGATCAGGGTTTGCCACCGCCCGGAGTACCTCTCCTCGAGATCCTGGAGGCTCGGAGACTCGTGGGGCCGCAGTGGCCCTCTGGTTCCCCCAAGCCAGTCTTCCTGTGCTTTATCTGTGGGAGACTCTTCTGGCGCCCAGGAGAAAAGCTCAGCCATTGGACAGGTCGGTGCGGGCTGCTGGTTCCAGGAGGAGGAAGGTGGGAGAAGCCTGGAGGAGCCAGGGGAAGGGAGGAGGGCGGAGGGCGGAGGGAGGAGAGAGGAGGGCTCCGCCGCGGATCTGGCAAATGGCAAGCCTCCTTCCCTCCCCAAAGTGTAGAGCAGGAGCGCGGGGGAGCGCGGCGGCGCCTCTGCCACCAAACTCTTGGGGCTCCGTGGTGTTCGGATTCATCTCTTCTCCAGCCCGCAGAAGCCCTCTCACCAGGCTGCGGCTTCACTTTTTCCTCGCTTTTCTTTTTCTTTAAAAAACACATATTTTTGTTGTTGTTCCCTCTCTCTGTCTCTCTCTTCTGATCACAGCAGCCCGGACCTTCCCGGGCTCTTCTCTCCGGGGCTGCCCATCCCTCCGCTGCCCGTGAGGACGCTCGCCCAGCGTTGGGCGAAGCAAAGAAGAAAAACTTGTCGGAGGGGTTTCTCCAGACTCCCTAACCCCCCCCACCTCCCACGAACCCCAACCAGCCGCCGGCACCAGTCCTAAGTCTGGGAAAGTTCCTCTGGTGCTCGGCGCCCTCTTGGATCTGCATGGCACCGGTGCTGGCTGTGGAATTAGATCTGTTTTGAACCCAGTGGAGCGCGTCGCGGGCACTCGGAAGTCACCGTCCGCGGGAGTCTGGGTGGCGCTGCTTGCGAGGACCCTGGAGTTTGCCGACTCGGGCTGACGTGACCTTTCCTCCCCGCACTTGGTGGTATTGTGTGGACTGAGGACTGCTAGGGTGGCAAGTTGAGGGGAAAGCCCCCGAAGTCCAGAGAGGGCTGGACTCCCTGCCCCTCCTTCGCTCGCTCGCCGCTGTTCTCTGCTACCGGGAGTAGAAGCCTATCGAAAGGGACCGAGGCCTCAGGATCCCACCCGAGACCCACGCGCAGAGCTCGGAGCCTCTAGCTATCCCCACGGAGAACCCCGAAGTCCTCGCTGGGCAGGGAAGGGAGATCGAGGCAGAGGCATGGCGAGGTTCCCGAGGGCCAACCTGGCCGCAGCAGGAGTTATGTTACTTTGTCACTTTTTAACCGACCGATTCCAGTTCGCCCAAGGGGAACCTGGACACCAAATCACTGGTAAGAAGCACTTTGCTGGATTGTTTTTGTGTGCAGTTGAAGATCCTTCTGGTACCCTGGCACCTCATTCCCAATCCACACCCACCAATTGCATTGCCCTTAGGAAACTTATCCTAGTTGTTTTTATGGGAAACACGTTTCCCAAAACCGGGAAGTGTTGATCAAGAGAAGGTGTTGGAGACCAGGACTTCCCCGAGGCTATAGTGCCTATTCCACCTGGGCACCAGGGGGTGGTCCTGTCTACCCCAAGTAGCCCAAGGAAGCCCCAGTGTAAGAACCAGCTGTGGTGGATACCTCACCCTGAAGCTTGGTCTTACCAGACTGTCTCCCCTCTGGCTTCTCTTTCCTTGATGCTTGGAGAAACAGCCTCTGTGCCAGCCTCAGAGGCGATGATGGGGGATGTGGTGACAGGCAGGGAAGACAGGTCTGCCCCTGCCAATAAAGATGCCTTGTGGCCAGCCGCAGATTCCTTCTCCAGAATAGCTACAATTGCTATCGCGGTGTGGGGTTAGGAAGTGGAATGCCTTAGGTTCAGTAGGACTCAGGGATGGAGAGGAGGTGAAGATAGGGCGGGCTTGCCTCTGAGGACCAGCCCTGGCCCCATTGTCCTCTGCCTCTCAGTTTCACAGACAGGCCTAAACACGCCAGTGGTTCCTTAGGGTTCCTTCATACTGTCCCGGTAGGAGGCTGGGCCTCCAAATCCTGGCAATTGGCTGCAACCTTTGTCTGGTGACCTCTCTGGCTAGGTGTATTGCAGTGAACAGTGTCTTTAGAGTGAGTTGGGGCTGACTAACCTGACTGTCTCTCAGACCACCCAATCCAGCTTGCTCCGGATTTCTGTCCATCAGTAAAGAAACCAATGAGCAGTGAAACACCAGGGCAGGAGTCTGAAGCCCTGTAGACTACCAGAGGTGTTGAGAGCAAAGAGTACTTAAAGAGAAAAAGGAAGAAAAAACTTCCTAGTTAGAACTATCACTTTTGTTCTATATGTCTGTGTTTAATTAGAGAGGGAGATAAATGAGTCCTCAGAAAGTATGTGTAGGTACTCAGCTGTCAACCTCAGATGAGCCACATAAAGAAGTCTGGGAGGGACACCTGGGCATGCTAGGTGAGGATGTACATTTACAAAAACCTTGAGTAGGATTTTACCACCTTGAGAGACATTGGATGGCCCAAGCAGAGTGTCTACCACCGGAGTACATTTTAGCAGAGAAACCTATTTTAGGTTGGAAAGGTGTGTGTGTGTGTGTGTGTGTGTGTGTGTGTGTGTGTGTGTAGCAGAGAAGGGGCTTCGAGAACCACAAGAGTAAAAGTTGATACTAAAATATTAAAATGAAGACATCCTTGGTCACCAAGGATGGTCCTCATCAATGGACATAGTTCTTAGCCATTTATAACTTATATCAGCACATTGTTTTCTTGGTGCATCTCATTAGTTGAAAACATGATGATACTTTTGCTTTTTCACAAAGCAGCACTTTAAAAGACACAAGTGTCATCTCTGTGAGCATATTGGAGTAAATAAATATGTAAAGCAGTTTTTCAAAGAGATGTCTTTGTATGGGGTGCCAAAATGCATCCCAAGTTGTTTGTTTAAAAACTTCTTTGGCACTAGAAGCAAATAATGCATCTACAGCAAAAATAAATTAAAAAAGACAAGTAGCTTTAATTTTTATAATACTCAGGGTAAAAATTACTGACACCTATGTTAAATTTGCTATTCAAAGGCTTCAACTAGAGAGTGAAATTCATTGCACTTTAAGACTGACCAACTATGGAAAGCTTTTGCTTTGGGGAGTATGACATACCTATGTTGACAAAGATAAATATGCCAGCAATTTAAAGGAATTCACTATTTCTGGTGAAACTCTTAGAAACCTGGTGCTCACAGGATCAGGGTGGAGGAATTAGCTAGTTCTTCAATTCTTCAGAGACTTTACTATAAACTGAAATAACCAAACAATGTTCTACATGGCGTTTTATGAAATCACCTTGGAAGTAAGCTGTGTTAGCTTACTGAATTTCTAACACAGGGCAAGGTGTCACAGAAGAAAAACAATCTACTTTTCATTATCAGATGACTGGTCTGAAAGTTAAATATCCAGACAAGAATCCAGAAGCTAAAATGTGGCATGCAGCAGTCAGGGTTTTTATTACAGGCATTTTGGTGAAGGAAAAACATCTGATTTCATAACAGGGACTTGCATTGCACTTTTCAGTTCCCCAACACTGTGCTTGATTTTACTGCCACTAGAGGGCAGCGAAACCACTACTTTCTTCTATTTTTATTTCTATTATTTCTGTGTTCTAGGGGCATGTAGTTCATGTTTAATCTGTCATTTACTTGTATTTTAGCTGTTCTTTCTCTGTTGTGTATTTTTATGTTTCATTTCCAGGGGATTTAACCAATTTAGCTGGTGATATTACTAATTTGTAGCATTTGTTGTAACTTGTCCTGTTGACTTACAGGGGCTAAAGTTTCTGTTAGCACTGTTATCTATAACAAGATATTAGAACATAGGGGTTCAGGTTATTGGACTGGCATGTTAATGTTCTCCAGCAATGACTCATAACTTTCCATAAAATTCTTAACATATGATATTGAGAAAGTTTTTATAGCTTGAGTTTGCATAAGTTTGGGTTGCCACAGAAATGTGGTCTAGTGTAGGATTTTCATTCATGGATGTCTGCATGGAGGCTTAGAACTATTATATAATAAACATGATTTTAACCATTATAGTCATATCATTTATAAGCTGTTCATATATTAAGACATGCATGTTGCCAAAGCCTATTTCTCATCCTTCAGCATGTGCTTGAATGAAATTAGAAATGCAATGTGTTACAAATTTTTTCTCTGAAAGAATCAAACAAGCCTCTGTAGAGATGTAGCAAACATACAGTTTTTTCTTTCTAAATGTTATCGCCTATTACATAAACACCATTTTTAAAGAGAGTGGATTGACCTACAACTGTGATCTTGAGATTTGAAGATTTCAGTTTGTTTTCCACTTATGACCATGACCTTAAGGCCTGAGCCACTGCCCCACCCCATCACCTTCTGTATTCTTGAATTCTCACCAGATGTTCTCTGAGTGAGGACCACATGTTCCTACCATCTTCTCATGCCTCTAGTTCTTCTTGCACTAATCCTATCTCCCTCCAATCACATTCTACTTTCCCTTACTAGCTTATTTCTAGCAATACTACCCCTGAAATGAGTACAATGACTTATTGCCTTCCATGAAGCACTTTAAGGACTTTACCATTCTCTTGGTTATTTTGTTTCCTTTTGTTTGTACTGTGCATCTCTATCATATATCCTATTAGACCAGCCTACTGGTCCCTGCAGTCAGGGTTCATTATCATCATTTTTGACCCTGCCACAGCTTGTGACATATAGGAATGTAACAAATACTTGCAGAACTGAATGGAACAGCATAGAACTGTAGTTCAGGATGGATTACTGACCTGAATACAGCCCTGGGAGACTTTTAAGTATTCTTAAAATAAATTGCTTTTAATCAGTAAAGTGGAAATGGATATTAACAACTAGCTTTCATAGGACAATAATTTAAAGGCAGAGTACATGATCTAGTTCTACCAAACTTCCTCAGTGTGCTGGAAGATTGCTACTTGCCTTAAGCCTTTTACTTTTGTATTACTATTTATGAAATTATTTTCAGATTGTTTGTCCTTTGAGACAGGGTTTCTCTGTGTAGCCCTGGCTGTCCTGGAACTCACTCTGTAGATCAGGCTGGTCTCTAACTCAGAGATCCAACTGTCTCTACCTCCCTAGTTCTGGATCAGCTCCCTTAAATCTTCTTATTAACATGTAAAATTTGTAAAGTTCATTAATTGTTCTCCTGTACTTCTCATTTCTGATTGCATATTCATTCCCACCCTTAACTTTCTATCTTCAAATACAGTGCATGTAGATTTTTCTGCATATACAAATGTATACATATACATAAGCATGCATACACAGACATGTAAAAGCATATTGTTGTATTTTCAGTAGTGATTAAAACTACTAGATAGGTTTGCTTACTTCGAAAATTGTTTTTGAATGGAACTGTGCTAAGGCCTACATTTTTCTGTCCCACTAGCCAGCTCCCAAATAACAACACAGAGACTTCTTATTAATTATGAAAGCTCAGCCTATAACTTTTTTTTCTAACTAGGTCTTATAACTTAAATTAATCCATTTCTATTAATTTACTTTCTACCTTTTAGCTTTGTTACCTTTATTCTGTACTGCCCATGTTGCTTCTTCTCAATCTGGCTGTTGATCCTCTGTGTCTCTGCCTTTCTTCTTTCCAGAATCCTTTCAGCCTAGCTATTGACCATTCAGCTTTTTATTAAACCAGCCTGAGTGACAATTCTTCACAGTGCACATAAAGATTATTCTAATAAAAAGGAAAAGTTTTTAACTCTAACATAATAAACTTTAAACAATAACAGCAATTATCAGGTAAGAATTATATTTACAGTGTCCAATCCTTTTGTACTTGACATATTTGGAGAAAATACTGTTATTTATTTTATCTTTATGAGTCCAAAGCTCTGTACCTAATTTACCTTTTATAATAACTAAGAAAAACTGTAACTGTGACTATCTAGGCTCCCCACTGTCAAAGACCCCAGAAGGATACAATATTACCTCAGTAAACAGCAAGTGAAGAACAAGCAAGTTCCCAAATCAAAAGAAACTACAGCAGCAACTGGCTGGCTGGACAGCCACCCATAGTTCCTCTACAACATTTTCAGCTTACAGGCCTAGAGTATCTGACAGGCTTTTCTGTGACCCAGGAATTTCTGAAGGCGTCTCCTACCTTCTATTAGCAAAGAATGGCAGTTGCTTTTCTTTGTGTCCTGCTGGTCTAGTTGAAACACAGACTGTCAGCAGTCAAGGCAAGGACAGTTTCTTGTCCAAATGGCTAGCTTTTACCATTAAATAAAGCAAACTCCATAAGGAAGTTCTTAAATGTCCCGTATCT